CGTTGGTTGCCGATCCATATTTGCAGGTCGACGTGAGACTGAAAGATACCCGTTGTCTTGCTTCTTTGCATCTGAGAGGCAGAGAGATCCATGGTGTGAGCCTTTGCATTTAGGGCACACTCCCATAATTGTGCAGCCCTTCGAAGTGTGATTCTTAGCAAAACACCTCCAGCATACTCTTTGATTTCTTGCTTCAGGCGTCGTGCTTCCGGGGTGGTGTATCTTTGGCAAATATAGGGCGAATGTTACTGCCCACATAAACACAGACGTTTTGGTTTCGAAAAGTAATTCTCTTCTCCCCATCTTGTTCTGTTGCTTCTTCCATTTTGTTGAGTGTCCTGGCGATGACTGGTTGGAAAAAGAGTTTTCGTTGTAAGCGAAGTGGTTTTCCGCAGTGAAATAATGTCATCGATAGCATATAGGATTTCGCCAACATCAAAAGGATCATCTTGTATCGCTTCTTTTTGGATGGCGGTCGTACAAATGGATTCGGGAAATTTGGAGAAGATTATCCGACGCCAAACTCGGTCTGCGTTCAGCTTCATGCCTGTTTGTTCCAAATGGATGATCCTGGAGTTGATTGCTTCAAAGGTATCTCGGCAACTCTTCGGATTATCAGCCGCCCTTGAAAGCTTTTCGATCTCATTTATAATTATGTCTGCCATGTTGGCCGAGCGATCGAAATGCTTTTTTACGATTTCTATCGCTGTCTCATATTTTTCTCTAACAACGGGGATGCAGCTTAGAGCGGCTGCTGCTTTTCCCTTTAAAGCTTGTTTCAGAAACAGGAATTTGTCCGTGTCGGATAACTCCTCGTCATTGTGGATGAGAGATTCGAATACTGTCCAAAAGCTGTTGAACTCTCTGAAGTTTCCGGAGAACGTAGGGATTTCGAGCAGAGGTTTTCGTATTTTGATCTGCCTTTCGTTGCGGTCCGGGATCCAAGCTTGTCCATCATCACTGCTTGGTTGACTCGGTATGCTTGGAGCATCGCAGTGCAGAAGTGCGCTTTGTTCTTTCAGTTCATGCTGCCGGAATTCTATCCTTGTCCGCCATTGCACTACAATCACTTCTAGACTGAGTGACTCCAGTTCTAAGTGCTTGCTGAGCTCCATCATCAACTTCTCTCTTTCTTTTTCCTCATTTCGTGCGCTGATGTACTCGATTGCGGAGTTAATCTGCATTTCTTGAAGCTTCACAGCGTTTTGTAGAGAGTTGAGAAGATTGGTTATCAATCCCGTTTTCTCTTTTATGTACTTTTCACATTCATCTTTTAGTCTGGGGAATGTGAAGGGAACATCGATAGTGTCGATTTGTGACTCGTGGGATTTCACGAGTTTGCAGGCGTTGTTGATCCTGATCTTGAAAAGTTGGAGTGACGTCATCTTTTGATGCTTCTTGTGTCTTCTTTTTTGAACTTTTCCTTGGTTCACAGAAAGCTGGGGCTTCGGTGTAGCTTCTGTGTTTTCAGCAGGGCTGATCTAGTATGCAAACTGTCCTTACTGGATGCAAGGAAGTCGTTTAGTGAGCTGGCAATTGGGTGCCGAGCTTTTACTAGCTGTCAGCAAGCGTGCCTTGTTGGCTTGAACGCTGTGCTGGACGGTAAGGTGTGTTGAACCTGTACCGTGAGGATTGAGAGCTTGAGTTCTTGGTGGAACTTCGAAGCTTAACAAGTAAGATTTTTTTGGTTCTTGACTTGTTCTTTCTTCCGTTGAAATCTCTTTTTTTCTAACTCTGGTTCCTTTGCAGGAATCGCGAAGAGATTAGTGAGATTGGAAGTGCACACACAAACTAATTCACTCCCTGGTTCCTTACGAAAAGGACGCGCGAAAAGAGTTTCACAAGTTGTGGTGGTGTTTGCTGCACAAAATTCTTTCCACTCCCTGGTCTCTTACGAAAAGAGCGCGCAACGGAAGTTTCCAGAAATTAAGTGTTTAGCTACTACCAACTGGTCCTTTACTACCCTCTGGTCTCTTACGAAAAGAGCGCGCAACGAGGGTGTCACTATTCAGTGGTGTTGCTCAACAACTGTTTTTTTACTACTCTCGGGTTTCTTACGAAAAGAGCGCGCAACGAGAGGTTCAATATTCAGTGTCCTGCCACGCGGGTCTTGTAGGCCTTGATTTCCGAGGGGAAATGCAAGGAAGTTCACTGGACGATGCACCAATTTGGTGTGTACCAAGTGATAGGGTAGACGAGTAGTTGTGGAATAGGTTTATTCACACTGGCGTAGATTAGTTGAGAGCGATCCATATTACAGTCGGGGGCTCCTTATATACACGAATAGAAGGCGGAGCTTGCCCGGGTACAATGTCCAACGTAGGAGGAATACATGGCTTAAAAGGAGTTGCCGCCGTTCGGCTACACTCCTGGTGCGCAGGTACCAATCATTCTTGAGTGATTAGATACTCAAGAATGAGTGGCGTACAATTCAGCCTATGGGAACTCCATAGGCGATGTGGAAAATGGAGTGGATTGGGTTGATGATATAGAAATCATCAACACTTGCACTTTATACTTGGGTAATTCGCTAATTTTTCATCGAATGAATGAATAGCGAATAAATTCGAAAAGGAAAAATTTCGAATAAACGAATATCGAATAAATTCGGAAAATCAAAAATATCGAATGAATGAATTTCGAATAAATTCGGAAAATCAAAAATATTGAATGAATGAATTTCGAATAAATTCGGAAAATCAAAAATATCGAATGAATGAATATCGAATATATTCGAACACTGGAAGTCGAATTTCGAATAAATATTCGAATGATTTATCGAATAACTAAAGCAATCACATCTCAAACTTGCCGACATATCTGGCTAAAGCCGATCCAATCATAATCAGCCCCCTAGTATCCCCTATACCAACTCCTAGCTCAAAATTTTCCAAAAATTGCTGAAATCAATAAAATAGATTTCGGTTTTAATCAGCACCCTCACTTACCCCTTTGTACCGACTCCCAACCTCGTCGCTCAAGATTTTCCAAAAATCGATAAAATCGATAAAGTAAATTTTTATCCATAATCAGCACCCTCACTGGCTTTGTTCGACAGCAGACCTTATTTGTCAGACTTCCACCAGATTTCAAAGACGTTTAGCAGAGTAAAGATAAAATTGGCTGGAGCTAAAATCTAAAAACGAGAAACATTGCAACTTGGTGTAAGCACCTAACGAACTGTTCGGATTTAGCGCTAGGTGTGCGATCTTTTGAAGCAATAAGGTGGCCACATATGTACTTAAATTAAACAAATGCTATAGGCCGTCCGCGCTGTGCTCGGAGAGCAACGCGGTTGCGTCCGCTGAAGGTGGTTCATGACTGAAAGAGACGCAGAGAAAACAGGCGGCGAAAGTGCACGAAGGAAGAGGAGTGACACGCAGTGCACACCTTGCGCACTCTCCGAGCCCAGCGCGGACGGCCTATACAATACATTGCCTGTTCATCGGAGACTTTCGTCTTGTGTGGTATAAGCTAGTCGTGGAAGAAGGCATGTGGTTTCCTCCGCGAAGCGAGCACGAATGCCCCTATAACCCCGGTCATACTGCAGACATTTCAGTGGCGACGTGGTATGGCGATACTCAAATTGTCCAAAATCTATTCTGAAAGTACAGAATGCAGGGCATTTATCTTTTTAGTATGTTGTATACGCTAAACATTTGTGGTAAGCTGCCATTACATCTGAAGACATCTCGTAGCTGGCAAATCGCGTACGGCGATCTAAACCTTCTAATCCTGCACTACAACTGCGATGTCCTTTACTCAATATACACCAATTCGCAAAAAACTCCAAGGTAACGAATAGGCAGTTCTGCAATAAGTTATGCGAGCAAGAGTGCTCACTAGTGTGGGCTTTGCGTACCGCAAGCATGAGCAATGCAAAGAAAGAAGAACAGCCATTTCAATTTGATATGAACTCAGAACATGAGCTTGAATTTGATATCTTCTTTGCTGATTTGGTGCCAATAGCAGTGCGAACAATCTCATTGATCGAAAAAACATCAATTAAAATCCACATATGATTTTTTACTGTCGCAAGCAGTCGGAAGACTGCGACTCTCCAATACAGTTCAAAGGTATACCGGTTGCAAAAGATGCAAGCCGAAATGAGCTTGTTACTCAGCAGTTGGCTTTGCAACAAAGTCGAATAATCTGAATACGGAGTACATTCGAATACGAATTCGAATAAACATTCGAATAAAACATTCGAATAAAATCTATTCGAAACCCCGTTTTTTGATTATTCGAGTTTTCGAATAATATTCGAAACCTTATTTTTTGATTATTCGAGTTTTCGAATAATATTCGAAATCCTGTTTTTTGATTATTCGAGTTTCGAATTTTATTCGAAACCCCGTTTTCTCAATTATTCGAGTTTCGAATATTATTCGAAAATGGAAGAACTCCGAATATCGAATTTTGAATACGAATATATTCGAATGTTTTATTCGAATGATCGAATTTCTATTCGATTCGGACCCAAGTATATTGCACTTTACACGGCCAAACCTCCCCTTTTTACTCGACTATTCAATTAATTCTAAGTGTACATCAACGAGTATCCAACTCACTAACAACTCACCAGGAGTCACGCTGATAATGTGTAAGGGTCAGCACACATTATCAGCGTGACCCCTGGTGAGTTGTCAGTGAGTTGGATACTCGTTGATGTACACTTAGAATAAATTGAATAGTCGAGTCTAAAGGAGAGGTTTGGCCGTGTAAAGTGCAAGATTAAGGTGAATGACTGACTTTCAGGCCTCTGAGGAAGGCATTATTGCCGAAACGTTGAGCCGAATAAAACATTTATATCAAACCTGTCTGGCAAAGAAAACTACTGAATATATGACATAATGCCCAGGTTTTACGAACAGAGAACGTACGAGATATTATGTGAGTGATTAATTGGATTGGCTTACATTGTAACGCTGGTCAGTTGCACTGCTACATGACCAAGAATCGAAACCATCAAATAATCCCTCTGAACAAAAAAAACTTACACCTATGCCATCGTAGTCGTATTCCTTGAAAGTAGCAACGCATGGAAATCCAACGAACAATATTACTATGAGCATGGTTTTCTGCACGGAGTTTTAGGTTAAACGCGTGACCTGAAACGAACGACATTCACAATGCAATCATAAAGCATACCTAACCCTCTCACTATCTGCAGAACCTGCCCTTCGCTTAAGTGTATAAAACTTGATTTCCTCTGACTTCCCAATTAGGTGCGAGTTTAAAAACGATTTGGGTAACCATACGTTTGCTTGTGTTACTTGGTTGTCTTCTTTGATGTATTGCGTTGCGAGTTTTTGATAATTCACACCCAGACCAAGGCATCCCTCCGGTACAGGGCTCGGCACGAGCTGGCACCAGGGAATTTTCAAAACGAAGTCCCCCTTGAATTTTGCTAATTTTTACGAAGTTCCCTTTGACTTCCGACCAAAATCCCTAAATCCCCCAACAAAGGAAAGGTCGACTAAAAAAAACGTCGTAATTTGTCGACAAAAGCAATATCCCCTTTGCTTTTTGTCCCAGAACGATATCCAGCTTGCCCCGTGTCAGCTGGTGCCAGCTCCTGCTCCGGTACAGGATACTGTAAAGATCTGGTAGGCATGAGATCAAGAAGGTCGGTATACGAACTAGGCTGAACGGAAAGTAATGGGGCTACTTAAATTTTATTGTATTTTAATTTTTGTGTTAATTCTTTGGTTTTAATGTCTATTATTGACTTTCAGGTATCATTCTGTAGAGCTGGCATTAATAGATTTAAAGTATGGAGAAGTTGTTGACCGTTCTTCGTTACTGCAGAATCGCGGTAAGAACCTTTAACATATAGAACCGTCTTTTGAAATTTTTTTCAATAAATGTGCAAAATTGGTACTAAGGTGTTTGCGTATGCTGATCCCACTACGTAATTTTTTGCAAGTGTTTTCTACTTTTTTGACAATGTAATTACACTTTTTGACACTGGGACAATTAAGGAAAGCAGCATCATAATAAGGTAAAAACTTTTCGTGTTCATAATTAGCGACTTTGATTGGACTAACGTAAAAACTTAACTTGTTTGGTTTTGTTTTTGAGGCAAGATATGGCCGTCAATGGCCTAAAATCTTGTCCAAGTTCCTACCGTAATCCTACACTAAGGAAAACGGATCGGTGATTTGCTCCATACTGTAGATCTAAGTTCAAGCCTGCGCTACAGATTGTAACAGATGATCGGCGGAGGATATCAAAGTAAGGAAGATTAACGTCAAACAGTGTGCACATTAGTTTGGGGCACCCTTTATAGTGTTAGCTTATCATCTCTGTTCTTTACAATTTTTTGGTCGTAACTGTGCTATCATATTTCATTCAACTTGTGTTTATGTGTTGCTATCTTTCTCTTTTCGCAAACATTCCATTTTCCGCGATTGATATTGTTTTCGATCACACTAATGCACTATAATATTTCTAGGCAATCAACGTGTTTGGTCAACGATGCCCATCGCACCACAATCATCATAATCATCAACAATCATGTGGCATGTATTCACCGCGTTCAATCATTTACTTACATGTTCATTTTTACCAGGAGCCCTCCCTCCTTACGGACAAGTTCCGGGAAGGGCTGTACTAGAACTTTATTATAAATTCCGTCCCGGAACGAAACGGTTTTCAATTGTGTTTTGCTTTTGTGTTTTGTTTTTGTTTGTAAATTTGATTTATTCTTGATACTTGTATTTAACATGCTTCATGCTTGTTGTTTTCATCCACCGCTCCCTCTTGTTTGTTTGGGATTGCTATAGAATTCATAATTGAAACCTTGTGCAGTGCAATAAAAAATAACGTACAACCAAAAAAGGCTAAGTATACTTACGTTATTTCTGTGAATTTAGTGTTATCTGCTTGTTACGAACCTAAACATAAATCAGGATTAAATTCCCAATTTTTGTGCTCATACACTAGTGCGATTGAATTTTTTCACTAGCACTCATAACTCTCAGTATTGTGAAGCCCAATATACCTCTTATTCTGAGGTTCCTGCCTGCGGCCTTATTCTAAAATCCAGGTTTTTGCGATGGGACGGTGGTATGCCGGATAAATGAGGTGTGCCCTTTCCATGAAGAGGAAGACGGCTTTTGCAAGCGTGTCACAACTCTGCAGGCGGATCAACAGCATCGCCATGAGAAATTCTTGCTTCTGCAGGAGATACAACATCTATGGTATCGCCGTTTACTATTACAATATTACATCATATCACAACATCATAATCGCGATAAACATTTATCAAATTGTTATTGCATCATAGTAGTATATTATGCTGAAATTGGTCGGCAAAACACCGTAATATGATTGCATACAATTGAACAACATGGAATTAGGCAGGCTTAAAAGGCAGCCTGATGGCACGGATTTTCAGTGTCTATGGTTATTTTGATTACAAGGAAAAAGCACATTCACCAAAAACCTAAGTAAGCGTTTCTGAAAAAACCTATTTTGTAGAATATGCGCCACAGAACACTTATGCACATTTGAACGCTCATAACTCTTCCCAGATAGTCGCTTGGCATAATAATAAACATATATTTATGATCAGCGTTTCAAGAAGACCTCGATAATATAAAGCATGTTTGGTATGATATCTGCTAAGATGACTACCGTAAAGCTGCATATCATAGCCCTCGCACAGCATGGGTTTCAAAAAAAAAGAATTTGTTTATGACGGCAATGCTGTAATCCATAAACGGTTGAACACGTTCTTTACATGCTGGTAAGGCCACTGAACTTGTATGTCTTAGTTCTATTGAGGTCTTATATAAGGTTGCACGAAAAACTATCTACAAGCAAGAAGTTTGGATGTGTGTCCTTCCTCTGTTTTTCTTTTTCGCCAATGCTCTTTAGATTCAAGCCTTTCTGTCCAGAGCACTTTCATATTTGTGTGATTGAAGCTTTTTTCATTTCTCGATCTTTGACTAATAAAGTTTCTCCCGGAAGGATTCTTTCTTCAGTTCTATTTAATATTTATATTATTGAATACCGAAGCTTGTTAGCAATGAGGTTCATGCAATGCATTTGCTGATGATTGCAAACTTCATAGCGCAGTAACAGGGCTATGAGACAAAATAGGGTGCAAGAAGCTATAAAGCCTTATGCAAGTACATTCACGCGGAGAGCGGAGGGGATCTGAGAGGGAACGCGTCATATCTTGCTACTCTAGATATCTCTACTTTTCTTTCTCTATCTCTGAAAACTGAAAATTTTTTGATAATTCTTACTCCGGGGCAGTGGTTTATCAAGATTTTGATATCCTGAAATTTCATTTGGTTTTACTATAAACATGTTTAGCAGGACCATATATGTCATGTTTAGCAAGATCTTCACTACAATTTCCGTGTTTTCATTAAATTCTTAGGGAGATGTATGAGTTCAAAAAGGTAATCCCCTGGGAATCCCCAAGGGATCACGCAAGATAGTGACATTCTGATCTTGTATGACAGTACCCTGGCAACCTTTTACGCGCAGGTATCAGAGTATGAGAACTATTAAAACACAGATATAGAAAGAAGAAGAAAGATATCAGAATAGGGAGATACGACGCGTCCCTTTCAGATCCCTTCTCTTCCCGTGGATGTACGTGCATACGGGCCTAGATGTTCGTGGTCAAGCGGTCATGAGAATAGGTTTACCCATTCCCCAGAGAAAGACGAAATTACAGCTCATAAAATCCAATGACGTTAAATACTTCTATCAGCTAGATGGAAAAGTGACTAAGTATGTAGATGGAGTGACTGACTCGGAACTCTCAATGAATAATAAGCTTTCGATCAACAGATTTTGTAAGAAAACTGCTGGGAAAGATGACGACCACATACTGCTCTAACCTTTAACTACTAATGACATAGAAATTCTAATCCGATCGTACAAGGCTTACATTCGACCGTTAGTTAAACATGTTACTGTCATTTTCAATCGTTCCTTGACCTAAGTTGCCCGGATAGAAAAAATTCAAAGCAGCTTCACCACAAATTTGCTGACGCGAAAAGCCAGATTTGTGTACAATCCGTTGCCGGAGTTTGATATTCGCTGTGAAAGATCGGGACTGGAAGATTTGAGACTGCGTGAGACCGCAAAAGCTTGAGCATTTGATAGCTCGTAAACAAACATTTGAAGGTTAAATGCATTCGGGAGATCTCTCCGAGCGTAGAAACGCTGTAACTTGGTGCGCTTTAGGTAGAACTGTGCTGTTTGACAAGGAAGTGAGGAAAAACTGTTTCGTAAACACACCCATGATTGATCTTGACAGGTTGATTAGAATGCGGATGTTTTTGTTAAAACTTGCGCAAATCAAAGCTGTTCTAACGGACTACTGCTTTCATCATTGAATTGTTCTTCACATATAATGTTGTGCTTTTTCAGGCTAATTTTTTTCACAAATTGCTGCTTTGATATTAAATTCTTTGTCATTGTTTCAACTATCTTGACGTAGATTTCCTCCATCATATTTTTGCCTGAGTCGCTCATACTATTAGGTCGTCACGAAAGTTTTGTCGGTTCTTTCAGACCACTATAAGACCAGGCATAATGAAGATCTGAAAGAGCTTTAGCGTGTATTCGACGCAGCTTTTCCTTCTCTTTCTTGCCGTTACACTTTCGAACCACAATCCTGTATGCTTTCTTTGATAATTGCTAAAATTCTTCACCCGCCACTTTTGTCTGCTCACAGTTCGGCTAATTTTTGAATATTTCATTTCAAACTTTCGGAAAGGGTTAAGTAAAGATTAAATAGAGCATTTCTCGGACTACAAGATGATACTTTTAGATTTCACTAATCTGCTGATTTCCGCTTCAAAACGTTATATCTTCGGAGGTCTCGATTTTTGGCAAAGTCATGAAACACGCAATTGGAGCCAAAACATAAAAACTTCTGAAGATTCTGCGATTTGCAATATGGTTCTTATTGAACACTATTTATGCAACATTAACCAGTTTGATTGTCTTCAAAAAAGCAGCTTTTTGGAATTTTCGGTACTTTTACGTGGCAAACGTAATCAAAAAGCCGCGGTTTTTATTAAATAAATTATTATAACGGACTTGGTAAATGTGACCCACGTA